CTCTATTTATATATAAGGAAATTGTTATTTGGCAGAAACTCAAATACCGATTTCTCATGCTCTAGGCCCCATGATAAAAGTCTGCGTCATGTGCCTAAATATTCGAGAATCCAGCGCCACTAGGGATCTAACCCGTGACATGAGGGGGCTTACAATGAACCTCGTCAACCAACAGGTCAAGGCTTATATATATAATTGAGGAGTTTGCTATCTTGGGTATGCACAATAAAAACGATATTTAAAAAAATAAATATTAATTTGTAAGGTGACAATCTTTTTTTGATCAACTTATAAATTTAGACGTTAGGATCGAGAATAGATTCCAAAGGTTTTATTTAGGTAGGATATATTAGTTGGTTTGGTTGATTTATGTTTTTTGACATTTCTGATTGTTTGATTAATCAGTTTACTGGATCAGACCATTGCAAGCCCATCCAACCACAACACTGACATTTGGTTCCACAGTTCACCACAGTATAAATGCCTGACTCATGCATATAGGCTATAGCTTCTTTTTTATCTCGTCCCTTCTTAGTGGTCTCCGAGTTGGTCAACTTCTGTGTCGGCCGGCTTTTGGGTCGGGCGGCCCGTGGTCAGCAGCTCTATCGATCTCTGGCTTCTGGGTCGATTGACCATTATTCAGTCACTCATGACTCAACCAATCACTGTCCGCTTGTTTGAACGACTGTTGAGTATCTTTGTTTATTCTCATAGAATTTTATCTGGTGAAATGTGCCCCGCTCTGAGTCATTCGGTCAACGAAAATATCAGGCCAGAGATAGTTTTATTGTACAGGCTAGTTACCAAAATGAATAAAAAATATAGTTTAAATATTATGTTATAAATATGTGTTAAAATGGCTTTAAATTTACTGAATTTGTTTTAAAAATAATGCAACTGACAACATTAATTTTGAATACTTTTCTAATTTAATTTATATCGCCATATCTTAACATAATTTTTTTATAAAAATAAAAAAGTGTGTGTGTATATTTGTATGTATGTATATATATATATATATATATATATATATATAGTTAAAAGAAATGACGAGAGACTATTATACGAGTCTCCTGTCACATTAAGGAGAGGGGATTCAAACCCTTGACCCGAGGCGTCTTACACCCAGGATGCCAACCAACAAATAGATATATAGACTTAGCTAATCCTATTGATTATCCTATTGATAACCTAAGGTTTCAGTTAACTAATCTTATTAGTTTAGGGTTAACTAACCTAAGGTTTAGGTTAACTAATCCTATTGGATTAGGGTTAACTTTAAGATATAGGTTAACAAATCTTATATATATATATATATATATATATATATATATCCTTTGAAAGCTGGCTAATTAAGTCCACTTAATGAGAAAATTATATATATAAATAATTCCTCAGATTTTCATTAATAAACACTTAACAACTAATATTCTTATTTTAAAATGTATTATCTGTTTAATCAGACAATTATTTGTTTATTTTATCTTAATCCTTATCAAATGGAGGTTAAGAGATCCTTCACGGAATTGAAATAAGACGCCAAACAATGTAGCAAAGCTGTTTATTGATTGTATTTTGCATTGTCTTTTTTACCTTTTATTTTCTGGCTAACTCCTAACCTTTCTTTTTCACGTAGCTCACAGTGATCTGTAACTTTATTTTTAAATAAAAAATAATAATAATAAAAGAATATTTACATCCATATCACTCAACTCTTATGTATTTACATATCAACATCTAAAATTTATTATTTATATATATACCACAATATATTGGTAAGAAAATGTGTGTTCACTTTTTAAAGTTAAAATGTTGGTTTGTTTTGATGTGATGTGGAAGAATTGAGTGGTATAGATGTAAAAAATAAAATTTTGATGGTTGATATGTAAATGCTATGTTTGTAAATGCCCCAATTATAAAATAAAAAAGCACTTTTAGTTAGAAAATTCGGCCCAATGTTGAAATTATTTAAATTTCTCATTTAATGTCCGATTAGCTGAAATTTAATAATAAATTCGATGGTTCAGTATTCACACAATTTAAACGAAAATTTTTTCAAAAAACTGCTGCTGAAATCTGTAATTTTTAATCACTTGTAGTTTTTAATTCACGACTTTTTCAAAAAAAAAAAAAATCCACCGCAACTTTTTGAATATAAGATTATTTTGATTACATGTAACTATTCAAAAATAAATATTTAATGATTTTTTTTTCTTTCAAATTTTTTTGGGGCATTTATATAAAAACCACACAGCTTTTCTATGTTTTATATTTTTAGTGCCTATAAAGAACATTTATAGTTTTGTATTTAAAATTTTAAATTAAAAATATGTGTACAAAAATCTAGCAAAATTTTTTATTTTATTTTGGCTTAACATTGGATTTATGTTAAATAAGATTGATCATCATTTATTAAATCTTATAAATCCGATGTTTATCTTCACAGAAAGGAAATCTCGAGCGAAGGCGAAGAAAAAAATTAAATCCGATTCAGAGTCTGATTTATTAAATTTGAATTTACATTTGAAAATACTCGAAACGTGGGAATCAAATTACAAATAGATCTCTATTTTTTACATGAGGGGAGAGAGAGCCGGAGCAGAAAGCAAAATTTTAACCGATTAAGAAATAATGAAGCCAACGATCACCAACAATTGTCGACTAGCCCCAACCAAAAGTCCGATTTGGAAGACTTCTTCTTGCTAATATAAAAAATGTTTTGCCGGCCCAAAGAGTTTGATGTTTAGGAGATCTTTGATCAAAACTTCTTTTAACAGTTATGTTCCTAATGGATTTGAAGAATATTTTATATATTGGAAAGGAGAATTAATTGGCAGAAGGCTTGGTCAAAGATAAATGGTCTGCAGCACTTCCAAGTATTCCCTTGAAAATATTTGATGAACAATTAGCACAGGATGTTTTAAGCTTTTATTATTAGATTTTAAGGTCTTTATTAAATTGGTTAGAATCCCAACCGTCGTATTCTCTCTCGATTTTCCGACGCCTTTTAGGACGAAAAAAATGTCACCTTATTTTACCTTATTTTGATACAAAATATATTAGAATGGAGTTCATAATGATTGATTTTTTTGTTAGATTAATATGTGTAGAATTTTGGGTTATTTGTGAATCACATCTAAGAAATATAACATTAATAAGAAGAGAGAGAGTAATAATGTGTCGCAGTCATTCTTTCGGGTCTTATTCATAAAATGATTCAGATATTTATAGATGAGGGAATACAAAATAATGATATATAATTTGGCCGGTTTCAAAGAGATTTGTACTCGGGTATTCCTAGTGTTTTGTAAATGTCAGTGTGTCTTTTGACTACTTTCTGACTTGGCTGGTTGCCTTTAGTCGGTTTTGAGTCGGCATGATCAACTTGGTTGGTTG